AGACTGGTATTGGCCATTTTGAATCAGACAATCATATGGTATACTATGCCATGAATGACAAATTGAAGAGGAATAGCATCATATTAATCATCAGTAAGAACATTTTAAGTTCTCCACTGAAGTTCAATGCTATCAATGATAGATTACATCCATAAACCTATAAGGAAGACGAGATAATACTACTATCATGCAAATTTACACATCAACACTAAAAACAAAGATGAAGAAATTGAAGATTTTCACCAATTCCTGTAGTCGGAAATTGACCAAACATGCAATCAAGATTCACTGACAATTACTGGTGATCCGAATGTGAAAGTTGGAAACAAATCATCAGCAGTTGGAAAATACGGCCTTGGTGACACAAATGACACTAGAGATCTTATGACAGAATTTTGCAAGACTAACAACTTATTTATTGCTAATACCTTTTTTTCCACAACATGAAGGTTGACTATACACATGGACCTCACCGCATGAAGCACACAGAAGTCAAATCAATCACACGTGTGGAAAGAGACAATGGAGACACTCAATATCATTATTAGAACAAGACCATGGGCTGAATGTGGAACACAATCATTTATCATTACATAAGTTTAAGTTGAAGCTGAAGAAAATTAAAACAAGTTCATAAGAGTCATAATATGACATTCAGTATACCCCACCTAAATATTGAGGCGATTTGAATGAAAATTTCATGCACTGAACACCGAGGACTGAAGACCAGATGAGTTGTGGGTGACAACAAGGACATCATACATGAAGAAAGTAAAAAGTCATTAAAAAGACAGAAAAAGAACATAAATGGTGAGGAAGTCAAGACAACTGCAAGACAGAACAGACTGTTCTAAATTTGGGAAGAAAATTATATATCACAGGGTAACCTCAAAGAAAAATGATAAACCTTCACATCAAAATAAAAAAGACAAAAAATATAAGTATTTAGCAAATACTAAAACAATTATCAATGAAGGAAGTGATAACACAATTTGTAAACAAAATGAGCTCAGCACAAAATATTACATAGAACAAAGAAATCAGCAAAACCATGAAAAAATAAATAACAAAAATGACAACATCATATTCATACCATCAATAATCACACTGAATGTAAATGGATTAAATGTACTACTCAAGAGATGGAGAGATGCAGACTGGATAAGTAAACATACCTCAC